TTTTTGATAAAACTCGTTAGATCAATCGATATGTCTCAGGGTGACGGGTGCAGTGGGAGTGCCCCCCAGATCATTGCAATTTAATGCTTCGAGTGAAACTGTAACTGTTATGGACAGGCGAGTAGTTTACCGTCAGGTACACGCCTTGTTCGTCTCGTCACTTGATGTAATAAAAAAAATACGTTACGCTTTATAACAAATTTTCAAATATTTTGACAATTACGTCCGTCAATGAATTGCTGTGTACGGATACACTTACCCAATCCTCATGACGTGATGATGAAGCTATTCATTTCTTTAGAGGTCTATGTTTAGTAGAAGACTATTTTGACTGTGGTTTTTAGATGATTGGGAATAGTATACGTAAGAGTCGTTCAATAAAAACAAAAGTGTTCAAAACTTTATTGTGATCTCTTCCTATAAACGTGTGGTTTGAAATCCCCATCTACACAAGTATATGTAATGTTAAGCTGTACAGTGCACCTAATTGCCGACGTAAGTGGCTGAACTATATTAAAATCATTGTCTCGGTCATTAATAAGTCCCGGACAGTTGTATCGGGGCGAGCTCCATACTTGGCCATTGCCCGTGTCACGAATTTGTTCCCTAATGGCCGTAGGGCGTTCCCGGCAATTCCTTGGCCATTTCTGGCCATTCGAATATGAGTCCCGAACAGTTATTGCGTATTGTGCATTTTATTGACCGTTTTGTTTTAATGGAGCGGTGTGGTCTGCTTTTGAAAGTTATTTTAAAACATAAAGATTTATTTGTCAATTGTATCCTGTTTAAGTTCGTGTACGTATCTTAATGATTTTCTATTTATTATGTAAATATAAATAGTGAAGAAATAAGTATAAGTAGTAAAGAAAGTTTTAATCATAATATAATTATAATATAAATATCGACTAATATAAATAAAAATCGACTTCAGAATGTTTGTGGTGTCACATTATATTTGCCAAATTTTATTGAGGTCGGTTTGCGGAAAATGGGCGAAATTCCATAAATCTGATTCTTCCCCTAATTTGCTACCCTTAGAGGTGGAATATTTTCTTCAAATTTGATTGGACCACAACCCCGTTCTCAACAAAGAAAACTCATCGAAATCGGTTCACAAATTACGGAGTAATCGCGTAACATACACTCAAAAAAAAAAATAAAAAAAAAACAGTCGAATTGAGCACCTCTTCTTTTGAAGTCTATATCATTTTACGGCAAGAAGTCTAATACAATATTAGCATTAAAAAAAATTACATATATTCCATAATTAAGATTCCTTCCTTGCACCTTTTCAAATCGCGTCAATTCTAAGCAGCTGTAAATCCATTTAGTGCAAGCGGTAAGAGGCGCGTGCGCCGTCCGTCAATTAAGTCAATTAGCTGAACTCGCCGCCCGGATTGCTTTGATGCGCCCGACGGGCTGCCAGCTCACTTGCCACTCTTGTCCAGTTGCTACTACCGAGATACCATAAATTATGTTGAAAATAAAAAAAACGTTTTGAACTACCATCCTTACTTGGATACTGTAATCTAGTAGTCGAATAAGTACATTTTGTTTGGAGCAACTATACTTCGTTTTAGCATTAGACAGAAGAAAATTTTGGTTCTTTTGTCAGGCGCTATTTCATTCTGTCATTTCGTAAGAAAGTAATTTAATAAAATACCTAAATTTAATAAATTTAGTGAACATGTTTGATAATACTAAATTTGTGTAACTTTCTTACACTTAACTTACACTATAAAAAACTTAACGAAACAGAGGTTAAAAACATTAAATTTTATATATTCTCTTAAAACAATTATATATTATAGTGTCATTTGTCATAAAAGATAAGCTAGTGCCTTCCAGCTAAAAGCTAAATAATTAGAGCGTATTTTCCATGACAGTTCGGTTTCTGAACACGTGCACGCGGTCGCAGTAATGTTCCTTGTGAAAGAGTTCGTCCAGGGAAGTACTGCCAACTTACCTATTTCTGCCGCCAAGCAGTAATGTGAGCATTTACTAAGTTCCTGTTTTGAAGGGCTTACCCTTACCTTACATGGGATTTAAAAATCGCAAAGATCTCAGAGCTTTAGCTCTTGAGCGACATTGCAATTGTTATCTATGGATAGGCGTGTCGTTTACCACCAGGCGCACGACTTGTTTGTCACTTGGTATCATAAAAAAAAATATTACTCTATTTTTATAGTAACCGTGCAGAAAAAAATAATATTACAGTTCTACCTATTTCTACCGTAAACCAGTGTCGGAATTGTAATGTAACTAGCCTAGATTTTAGGAGGTGTGGGGTGTCGTCACTCGCGTTCCGCAATCTGCGCGTTGTAAATTAATATGAATAAAATAAGAACAGGCGGAGAAAGTTCACAGATCCGACGTCGATGAGCGCTCAATGGCGACTGACGGGGCAGCAGGTGGCGCGGCGTGTCGTCAAACCCCTGGGCAATTTGCAAATTTTGGGATAATGTGAAGGTTCTCTTCTTAAAAAAATCATTTATGGCTTTTGTATTAGTTTTTTCAGAATATTACACGATCGGATAAAGTACATCCTATCGTGTAACACATTAGCACATTCTTTAGACAATAACCTTAAGTGTATAGTGTATTTTTTTGTAAGACCGCTATTTAATAGGAAATGCCTAAACCATTTTGATCTAGCAAAAAATATCCCGCTTCTACTCTAGTAACTCACCTTAAATATCTACTATCTATCTTAGAATTGTAATTACCACAGCCTATTTCTTGCTTTTTTACTTTTCGTGTCTAAGAATAACGTTACTTTATAATACGGTTTATGTAAAGTCGATGTAAATAATATATAGCATTGACACAAACTTTTAAATGTTGTGATTATTGTTTGTAATGTGTCTAATGTAATGGATTGGTAATCAATTAAAAACGATATAAGATAGTAAAAAAATCTAATTATATAATAATAAAATTTATATAATAAAAAAATAATAAATAAAACATCCTTGCTCCTTGTGAAAGAGTTCGTCTAGGGAAGTACTGCCACCATTTCTATTTCTGCCGCCAAGCAGTAATGTGAGCATTACTGCATTCCGGTTTTGAAGGGTAAAGCTGTTGATGAAGTTACAGGCACTTGGGACCTGTCAACTTATGTCTCAGGGTGACGGACGCAGTGCCCCTGAAGATTTTTGCGATTTAAGGCTCTGAGTGGCACAGCAACTGTTATGGATAGGCGTGTCGCTTATCACCAGGTTTTCCTGATTCCACTTACGACAATGGGAAAATTCGATTTATTTTTATTTAATGGAGTTGGCCACCCAGTCCGTCCGTATTTTATCATGATAATGATAAAACCACATCTTTGCAAAACCTTTAAAAAGTACTGCATTTAGATTGGGATGTGTTACTTCATCCATTAGTATTCGCCCGACATAGCCCCTACAGATTTTCACTTGTTTCGATCTTTGAATGGACCAATGACTTCAATCTATAGACAAGAACATTCACAGCAACTACATGTTCCAAACAAAACACTATCAATTAATAGTGATAGTGTTTTTGCTTTAGTGTTAAGTTTTGTCAAAGAGTATCAGTACTGTAGTATGTACAGTGCACAGACGTAACAATCTATACCTATTGGCTTTGAATGAGCTAGGCAGGCAGATAATATTGTATTTACCAATGATGTTTATTCATAGTTGGGGAATTAACGTAAAGCCCCTAGCAAAGTCGCTATCAGTTGCAAAATACATTTCAGTTTGCTTTGACCCAGAGACCTCCCGTTTATTATTTATAATTATTATATTACTAAAAAGAAACACAAATTAAGTAAAAGAAAAAAAACAATACAGTCGAGTTGTTGAAATTATTGATATTATTTTATTTACTTTTCCTTGCGGAAAGGCAAAGATCTTTAGACCATTCAGCCTAGTCAAGTGCATAGATATCGTTGAGCCTACTCTTTTTTATATTTTTTTAATTCATATGGTAACCTTAGTAATTGTTATAATCATATTATACATCCTCTGTTATTGTATAGTCAGAACACTCTGTTGCTTATTAATCTATGATTTATGTTTTGTCTTGTTTTTACACGCGTCATTGTATGTTGCAAAACGAGATGGATAGTGTGAAATTTTGTATATTATTTCGCGATTGTCAAATACTATAATGCCCAAATTAAACAAAAACCACAACATTGCTTGCCGAATCAACGTGAATAATTAAAACTTTCAATTTGTGTTCACACAATTAGTCAAATAGCGAAATGTGAGCATCTACTACTACTTCTACTAGCGTACTAAATACAGCGTGTGCATGGAACGCCGCATTTAGTACGCTAGTATATAGATATCGTTGGAATGGACGCAACGTTTACGACAAAGAATCCATCAAACGATACTACATTTTATTTGAGTTGTATTTTATAAGTAACGACAAGATTTTTTTTAAAAGGGGATTTCTAAGATTACAATACGCAATAGATCAAAATTTAATATTGAACATTTTTTTTTTTCGTTTATGCTTTTATTCCGCAAGGTATTTTTGACCAACACAATACATAAATTATATTTAGATTACATTACTTCTGTCTATTAACAATATTTACAATTGTATGCTGCCAATACAAGATCATTGTCTTAGGAGTTTTTCAAACAAAAGACATTTATTTAAACATTTCACTGTATGTCTTTGTTACCAATTTATTTCATAATTAACTGTCATTGAGTATTAACAAAACATAACATTTTGCAAGTTGTTATACAGGAAAACACTTTATCTTTATTGGCTTACCATTTATTTTCCTTCTAACCGCTTTCTAGGAATACCAGTGTCAATTATCTTCTAGCAAAACAAGCGTAATTTGTATTTATTTATTATTATTTTGCGAAACAAAACCACTAGTGGGTTATATGCGTCTTGTATGTGTTAATTACTCCGATATCACTTGTTATAATAAGAATTATCTGAGAAATAACAGACTGGTAGCGTGGCGTTTATATGACCAGTAGATGCGATAACCTAAACCGCTACAGTACGTCCACTTGTACACTCCTGTTGCTCATGTACCCCGCGTATCTTAATTTATTGTACATATTTTTAATGTGATTTCTTGGGGAATTCTTTCATGTTTATATTAAATGGTGATAAATATTAAATTGTGTTCAACGTGTTGAGTGATTAGCTAATGAATGTGCATAAAATTAAAGTTCTAAGTTCGAATGTAAGTGTTATATATAATAGTAACGTTTTAAACTCCATTTTCTTTTTGTTAGTGTTGTGCTTACGTTTGTCAACGATTTCATCATCAGTACAGATGTCGAACGAAGATGGCGCACGTTCCTCTGTTCATCCAGATCGACAATTAGATCAATGAATCATTTTATTCATCTCAATTAAGCTGTCATTTTTAAAAGTCAATAGCACCAAACCACATATCGATATTATACCTTTATTAAGAGATTTCGAAACTTTAATTATGATTGATGATATAGGTAATATATTCCCGGGCTATAATTAGACTATTGTTACCATTGGCCGTACAATGGCGCGTGTACCGAGGTTAAGATTCTCGTAAGAGTACCGCGTGTTATGCTTGAATAGTATTTTTTTTTAAATTTGAAGTGAATACTCCGTCTCAACTTCTTAGCATACCATTAATCTTGTCTCGTTAGACGAAGGACGTTGTTTTTTAAGTTATTGTAAGAATTCACGGCAATCGCACAAGTAGCGGTCATCTCACATGTCTTGCATAAACTACTCATCACATTCATCATTATTAAAGGTTTTTTGCGATAGGCATCTTTTTGCAAAATCACACAATATTTAGTACGCTCAGCGTCAAATGTAGTTGAACGGTATTCCATTTGTTAAGTAAAAGCAACATATATTTTTTAAAGAATCGTCAGTTTTATACAACGTACAAAGGCGTTATACCTACAACATGCAGAAGTGAACTTTAAACTTTGCAATTTATCTCTCGTTCTCATCAGCAAGAACAGTGAAACGGAGTTATTACTTTATATAATTAATTATATTTAATTAGTATAAAATCGAAATAACGGAATTGTAACTGATCAACGACTCCTGATGTTGACTGTACAAGCTAAATAATTATAAATTAAAAAAACCGTCGTCATAAGTTTGTTGTCGGTTTAATTTGCAATTCTTACAGGCGGAATATTTTATACAAATATGACTGGGATAACTACTGAGGTACTCCCTTTAAGAAACATCTTCGAAATCAGTCGTGCAGCTGATGTTAAGCGACACGCCTGTCCATAACAATTGCAGTTGCAACTCAGGGCTTTAAAACACACAGATTTGAGGGACACTGCCATTGCGCCCGTCATCCTGAGACAAGTCGCATGTGCTTGTAATTTTAGCACCCTTACCCTGTTGTTTTTGACGGGGGGCATCTTTAAAGAGACTCAGGGATTATGTGGGGACGGAAGAGTCCCCAGTCCAGTCCACACTGGAGGGCCTATCCCACTGAAACCCCCCGGGTTTGCCTTTCGTTGCCTTTACTAGAAATAGGTAAGGTGGCAGTACTTCTCTGGACGAACTTTTTCACAAAGAGCTCTGCTTGTCGTACAGTCGAATTGATACCCTCGTCCTTTTTTGAAGTCGGTTGAAAATGTCGCTTTCAAGAAGATTAATTACCGTATTTAACGTGCGAAATCCATTTTTACGTTCACAATTTTAACACGCGATGATGCAAAACGTGACAAGAACGAAAATGCAAAAATTTATTACCCACCACGCATATCTGCCATGACAAGACACTACAAAACAAAACAGTCAAGACATGTAAAAATCTTTGTGAAGACTTGGTTGATAATGGTACCTGCCTGAGTGAAGAAAAGATTTCATAGATTTCTCACAGATGGTGCTATGGCAAAAAGTTGTTAAAAAAAAAACAATAAGCTCTCAAACAAGCACATAGAAAAATTCATAAGGTCTGCTGATTAATTCCGTAGCTCAGTTAAGCCGGGTACTCAATTACAGTAACGAGGTTCTAGTGTGTACGCGTGGAACAGTCTTCACTCGCTAGAATGAGTACTTGGTTGTCGTCGGTCAGTCACACAGTCTTCAATGCGAACTGTCATTTCGTCGTCGTGGTTCCGCACGCGATCCGCGTCCACGGAATCACGTCCCCACTATGATTTTTAGTAACATGACATATAACGGTTACAGCTCCGTAGTGAGTACCTGGTTTTACGGTGTGCTGAACACGCAGGTTCGAATCCAGCCGAATCGGAGGATTTTTCTTAGTGTTTGATCTTTTATTAATAATTATAACTGAAGCTGTTACAACTGAACGCTTCAATAATTATACTTGAGGTGTTCGCGTGAGATATTCATACAAGCGCTGCAAGCGGCTTTCTCTGGTGGTGCATGGGTGTTCTCCACCGCAGCTGCCTCATCATGCCGGTCGGCTATGAAATGATAGCGCGAAGTCAAGTAAATGTCTGACTCTAGGTTAATTCAATAATAAACGAGTGGAATATTTAAAAAAAAATGCATCATATTAAAAGTATAATATTGTGACGTTAAATTTTTTGAGGACCTCAGTGGTCGAGTGGCTTGCACACCGGTTTTCTTGGAGTCGCCATCTCAGGTCCCGGATTCGATCCCCGGCCGTATCACTGTAGAGAACAAATTTTTTACATTGCCTCGGGTCTGGGTGTTTGTGGTACAGTCGTTGTTTCCGATTTCCATAACACTAGTACTTTAGCTACTTGCTTTGGGATCAGAGCAACGTATGTGATACTGTCTAATATTTATTTATCAATAAACCTTATATTAGGGGTTAAAGTATGAAATTGCCGTTTTATTGCAATAGGTTCTTTGAATTTTCATAGAATCTTCATGGTTTGAGGTTTTCGAATGAAACTTTTTTCAAATGGTTTCTGTGATTTTTTTTTTTTTAAATTTGAAACATTTGAAGATCGACTTTCAATTGTTTTTGTTATTCAATTTAGACAAGAAAGATGGATACTGCGAAAATTCGAGTGATTTTTGAATACGAGTTCCGACGCGGAACTAACGCGGCAGAAACAGCCCGCAATATCAATGCTGCGTTTGGAGAGGGGTCTACTAATGAACGCACCGTGCGATTTTGGTTTAAACGCTTTCGTGATGGAAATTTCGACTTAAAGAACGAGCCACGAGGAAGACCGCCCACACAGGTGAATAACGATGAATTAAGAGAGATAGTGGAAGCCGATCCTAGTCAAACTACCCAGGAATTAGCGGCATGGTTTAACGTTACCTTACCCACAATATTGACTCACTTGCGTCAAATCAATAAAATAAAAAAATACGAAAAATGGGTGCCTCAAGATTTGACTGATCTGCAGAAAGAAACGCGTGTTGAAACTTGTGTTGCCTTGTTGAACCGGTACAGAAATGAAGGAATATTGGATCGAATTGTAACATGTGATGAAAAGTGGATTCTTTATGATAACCGGAAAAGAAAAATGCAATGGCTGACCCCAGGTCAAATGCCACAACAGTGTCCTAAAGCAAAACTTACCAATAAAAAGGTAATGGTAACTGTTTGGTGGTCTCAGCATGGTGTTATTCACTATAGTTTTCTCCGATCTGGTCAAGCAATAACGGCAGATGTCTATTGTGCCGAACTCCGAACCATGTTGACAAAACTGCAGTAAAACAGCCCCGACTCATGAATCGATCTTCACCATTATTGCTCCACGACAACGCGAGACCTCACACAGCACGAGAAACCATTTTGACCCTTCAGGAACTGCAGTTAGAAACCATTCGTCATCCTCCGTATTCACCAGACCTTGCTCCAACGGACTACCATTTTTTTCGTGATTTGGACAATTATCTACGTGACAAGAAGTTTTCTTCCCAGGAGGCAGTACAAAATGCTTTCACACAGTTTGTGCAGTCTAGATCGTGGAGTCCTATCGCAAAGGCATTAATAACCTTCCCATTACATGGCAGCAATGTATAGATAATAATGGCAACTATTTTGATTAAATAAATTTGTTAAAAATTTAAAAAATAAACAATTTAGATTTTCAGTACAAATCGGCAATTTCATACTTTAACCCCTATTATTACAACTTGGTTGTTTTTAAAAATGTCACCAAGTTGCAAAGCTCGTAAACAACAAAATGAACTCAAATAACCTTTGTCGGGTAACTGAATACCTACTGGCTCTGCTTAAAATTTTTCGAGACTACTTGTGAGGGCGCCACCCATGATTTACATTACAAATATTTATAATTAACCGTTAGGTAATTGACTTGGTGAAATATGCGAAATAGAAACGTCTTATTAGATTTTTAACGACTCCGTCACGGAATGAAATGACGTATTGGTAGCATTAATACAAAGTAGAAGCACATTTAATTAATAGGTTTGTAGATGTTATACGTGAGAATATATTTTAGTAACGCACACACCCACACTCAACATAGCCCCGCACTAGGGAAACCCTGTGTCGCGGGAAATATATTTGTTAATTACATTTGAAAATAACATGTTAGCTGCGGTTGCCAACATCGTGTGCGAGAGCGACAAATCTAATCGCAAAACACCAAACTAGGAAATCCAAATTATTTCGACGTTGTCGGTTGGTGTTAACAGAAACTATACTTGTTTTATGAGAAGTGCAATCCTTTTTAACCAACTTTAAAAAAGGAGGTTCTCAACTCGTCTGTTTTTTTGCATTACGCGATAACTCCGGTTAAATAATTTGTGAACCGATTTGGATGATTATTTTTTGTTGGAAAAAGAGTACCTCAGTACTGATCCCATTTAAATCTGAAGAAAATATTCCATCTCTAAGTCTGGCAAACTAGGGGATGAACCCGTTTTCGCGCACTTTCCGGTAACCGATTTAAATAAAACTTAGCAAATAGGCATAATTCTACAAACTTTTGAGGTCGGTTTTTTAGAACTCTGATTATAAGATTTAAAAATTTAGCGCCCAGTTGCACATAAGTGCGGTTTAATGCTCCATTGTTAATGGTTACTTAGTAACATATAGTATCTTAAGTTTTACTTTGATGAAGTAAATGTATATATATAATATGTATATAGTATATTATATAGACGTATTATGTATTAGTTGGTGCTCGCGACTCCGTCTTCGAGTAGCTACTGTACTATACTAAAGGTTTTCCGTACAAACTTTCATCTCTTATGTCACCTCCATTAAGATTTATTTTTGTTTTTTGTTACTTG